GATTCTGAATTCAACATCACTAAAAAAATTCTCTTAGTTTCGCAGGTGTTGTGCCAACCCTTCGAAACTAAGAGAATATTTTTATTGATTTTGAATACAGAATCAGAATGAGCGAATAAAATAGAGCACATCTTGACATTCTGAAGTAGGTTTGATGGATTTTAACTGAATTAAGAATTTTTTAATTTTTGATGGAAGCAAACAAAAATGGGTTATTCCACCTAGTAAAGGTTTCACTCGGTTCTTGCATTTTGTTCTGAAAACTAACACTGCCACAAGATTCAGCATAGCCGATAACCTATGTCTTCATTCATTTCTGATAATCTCAAACCTAACGGCAGAGGAGTGCTAAGGCTTCAGCAAAAACGGTCATAGCTCCCGGCCCATGGATTTCTAAGATGTCACTTAGATCCAGTTTTGTAGAGAAAACTTCGGACTATATATCTATGAAAAAAGTTTAATTTTAACTTCAATATTTATTTTGACAGTTGCAAAGCCCTTGGAAGATTTCTAGAAAACTCCTAGAAAGCCTTAAATTATTGAGATATAAATCTGGCACCTCATACATTTGAACTACATAGTTTAACAAGTTCAAAACAAAAATAAATAATTTTTATCTTTTCGGCTTATGCTAAGAGAAGATCCCCACAAAACCTTCGCTTTTCAGCGAAAAACCTCTAAAAATCTCCAAAGATAAAATTTTTTTATCAAAGTAAGTTTTTAGATAGAGTACAATGTACTGTATTGGATGAGTGCATTGAATAAAAATTTCTGTTATTGTACAATTTTTTATAAAAAAGACCTGTATGCAAAACCTGTATGCTCAAAATTCAGGTTTTCCAGAATCCCATTAAGAAAGTCAAAATGAAGGAAAACTGATATTACCATTGGATTCGCCATGATGCATAACCTTGAGGCCCTGACGTTTAAGTTGCAAACTGTTCGTTTAAGCACTTTTTTGTTATTTGGTATTCATCTCATTGAAGATCTGTACTAAATGTTACGTTATTTTGAATTATAACTGTTTCAGGGTCACTGATCGGTCGAGACGTCAACGTATGAGTTTTGTAGTCAAAAGTCATCTTTGTTTAAATCATAGTAAAATAATAATAATATTCGATGAGATTCCATTTCTCGAGTAGATTATCGATCACACGTGGGTATTTTTTGATGATTCAAGTTTTAGAATACTATATTCTAGTGCTCTGGGCCAATGAGGGTTATATTGCCAGAGAGAATAGGAATGCCAGCTAAACTTAGAATTTTTGATCAATTTTCAAGACCAGTGTATGTTCGACTAATTCTAATACGAAGATTTGTACTGATACTGTTTTTTTGTTAAAGATTCATATGGCGTTAGCTAATTATAAACTGCTTAAACTATAATTAAAATTTAAAATTTTGTTTTACTTAAGATGCTTTTATCGGTGTGAATATTGGTCGTAATAAAGAAACATCTTCTAGTAATTCTAATCAAGATTATACAAGAGGTATTGAAAAATTTGGATGCATTGCCGATTATCTTGTTGTCAATGTATCAAGTCCAAATACCCCTAAATTACGTGCATTACAAGAGGCTTCTGAACTGGAGGATCTACTTTCAGCTGTATGTATCATTAAATATGCTTAGAAAGTTGATTTTATCAAGTTTTTAATTTCAGATACGTGTTGTGTACGATCGACTCCCATGTAGAAATAACAGACCACCGTTACTTTTGAAAGTAGCACCCGACTTAGGATCAGATGAGATTAAGGCGATTTCAGAAGTTATTAGTAAACCAAAGGTGATTGACTCATCTTTTCAGAATCATTTCTAAAAATTTGACGTATTCTAGACATCTATTGATGGATTAATTGTAACTAATACAACTGTACAACGTCCATTAACACTGAAAAGTGAAAATAAAATACAAACAGGTGGTCTCAGTGGTGAACCATTAAAATCAATTGCATTGGAAACAATAAGATTGTTTCGACAGTATACAAAAGGTATCTATCAAGTTTTGATGAATAAATAGTGTATTGATTTGTTGTTGTTCTTTCTAAAGGAAAAATTCCCTTGATTGGTGTTGGTGGCATTTCAACAGCGGAAGATATATTGGAACGAATAAAAGCGGGTGCAAGTCTCATTCAAATTTATACAAGTTTAACATATTCTGGACCACCTATTGTGAATAAACTGAATAGAGAGCTAGCAAAATTAATTAGGTAGGTATTGAGATAAATACTTAAGTCATCATTAAATGTGACAAATAAGATAATTCTATTTTTATTTAAGAAATGAAGGATTTAGCAGTGTAGCAGAAGCCGTTGGTATAGATGTTGATTCAAAAAAATAATGAACATATTTGTTGGTAAACAGTTTTTTTCTTAGATTATTTAACTTCTTTTAAAATTGTTCATCGTTATTAACGGTTGGTTTTTTTTTGCTGTTCATATAATGTGTACTAGAAAGTATTTTGTATGGAAAAAATCTCAGCAAATCTGGTTAAAGCTGATTATGAATTGGATATTTTGATAATAGACTAGAAATAACTGAATATCAGCGTTTTGGGTCGAATAAAACTCAGCTAAGTGATATTAGTATAAATCACACTGTGCTACATTGCCATATAAAATTTATATGGAAAGATTCATTAGAATACCGCTTTTTCTCGATAAACAGTTTCAAAACTTCTATACACCACCAAATTGTTGGTATTAACGGCTAATAATGAACGATAAGTCATTTTTTCTTAAGATAAACGTAACGAATATTTTGCTAAGCAAAATATAATACTAAGATATTGTACATTTGAAAATAATTTGATAAGCTTTATAATTACAATGTACAAATGAATTCAACTTGATAAATAAGCGTAATGCTTAATTAATGAGACGATATTTTATTACTTATCATGGTCTTTCTCCAACGATATTCTGTGATACTATAACCGGTCATTCCAAGTGTTAAAAATATCAGTAATATAATCAATGCAATTCGTATTTGTATAAACGGTGTTATTATATAAAACAGAACAAATCCTAATGATTCCCATAAACGATAGTTCGAAAATGCCGCCTCATCGCTGGCTGAAAATAAAACACCGTACAATGCTAAAAGTAAGAATAATAAAATAGCAATGAAAATAGTATGTTGATTATTATATGAACCTACCATTAATTTGTGTTTGCCACACGGCATCGCTAAGTCCCCAGAAGCCCGCAATAAGAAATAGC